TTTTTAAACTTTATACCCAAGCCCCCCGGAGGTGCACCGGACTCTGATGAAAATATTAGTTGTGTCCAAACGGCGGTACTACAATTTCCATATCAGTCCGTGTCGTCACCCGGCCCAGAAAGACTTTTCCCCCATTGACTAACATTGGGAAAGAGACGTCTGTAAATCAGCGGATATTTTTTTTAAACTAAATAAACCACCCAGTATGAACTATTTTATAGCCCTTATGAGAATCATTAAGTCCTTAAAGTTGTAAAATGCACTAAAAGCCGAATCTAGATTTATTTTCTGTCTCCATTCATTCTACTGAGCAGAGAGTGGGAGCTCGGGGGCGGGGCTTAAGGGGGGCGCATGCTCTGTGAGCGCACATACGGGTTCTTCTGCTCCGACAGCTAGGCATGATGGGTAATCTGTGACGTTTCGCTCTCTCAAAAGTTGGGCCATTTTGTCCTCATGCGCCAATGAGCAGCTCTCATAGGAAAGAACGAGACCCCGCCTCCCACGCTGTATCCAGTTCTTATTATACATCGATGTGCATACCCCAAATCGGCACTTTTGAAACAGGAAGTGAAATAGAGGATATGAGGCATGGCTAGAATGGGTGATCTGTTTGGTATTTTGAGCAAAACACTTCATAGACATGTTTTTTAATATTTTTGTATATATCTGAGAGCTATGATATATGCCTACAAATAGTATAATAAAGTCCTTTAAGACCTGACTGATTTAGCAGCTCCTTTATGTTCTGAATACATCCTGCATCAGAGGGACCTACGCAACTGTTGGAGCCCCTACATCTTTTTAAAAAGTTAATAAAAAGTTCACAGACGAGTCCAATGTCATTAAAAAGGCAAAAATAAAAGCAAAGGAAAACAATACTTTGCAAAAAGAAGGCTTTAATTCACAAATTGTGAAACTGTGATTTTCAAACAAACCCTCCAACCAAAAAGTAAAGATTATTAAAGCACTTCAGTGTTTTTATGCTCTGTTTTTCTTTCATAAACAGACTATATTTGATGATACCCACATTTTGACATTTTTAATATTGCCTTCCGCACTTAATTTTCTCACAACGTAGGGAGAGAGTATTGTTTTTTATGAATATCATCTATCAGCTCCTTCATTTGAATAAGTAGGTAAATGAGGTACGCTTTACACTCCACAGTGCACACACCAGAGGGGGGCAGTGCAGCCCCCTCCTCTCAGTCTGACAGAATGGTCTTCTGCAGAAGGCAGACGGAGCCTGGGTCATTGTCTTGGCATCGGACTCTTGGTAACGGAAAGCTGATTTCTGGAGGGATGTATTTTATTATGTCTCCTCTGTTAATCTCAGCGATGAGGAGCAGGTTAATGAGAACATTTCCTCACTGACCCCGCTGTGAGGGGCTTTCTGGTCATGTGGATTGAGTTGGATGGATTCGGATTTGTTAATACTGGAATATAAAATGGTGTTTATAAGTAGATCTGGATTGATACAGATGGAAGGAAGAGGACAGTATTTATGTGTATGGAAGGTATTTTACTTTTCACCATGCAATGTGAGATGTATTGGTGTAATGTAGGGGTTAATGAACCTCAATGCCAGTCTGTCTATATTTAATCTTCTTGCAGATTAAAATACTTTATCATTTTTTTTAGAAATGCAAGGCTGGAAATATTAGTAAACAAACAACGTGTCATTTTAAGTTGTAATCAGGTCTTTTCTTATTTCCAGTACATGATTTGTGTAGCCACAAACCATCTCAACACAGATATCTTTAGAGGAAATAGAAAAATAATGTAATACGTAAATGAATAATGCTATTGGTGATTCCATCTTCAGCTTTTTGTGAAGATCTGTAACCACTACTATAATAACATGATGTATGGATAGCGAAAAAAGCAACCCAATGAAAAGATGAAATATTGGCAGTTAATAGATTCAAGAGGCATGGATAAATAATTATTTAAGGTGTATTTTTAACATGATATTGAATATATTTTGTTTGAATATTACTTCTTTTTTTTTTACCAAAAAATATATGCATTTCATTTTATTTCTGGTTTCTGCTTAGGCTACTGGCAGGGGTCTATGTTCACAGTGCAGAAAGACAAAACACTGCATATTTGAATATTTGTTTATTTGATATCGTCATCGCAATGCTGCATATTAGAATGCTGTTTTTCCTGATAGCGTGCAGCCCTAGTACTTAGTCTGTCCACCTCTTCCTGATATACTTTTGTCGTATCATACCCATATTTATCTGTCTCTTTGGGTTGTGCTTCGCTTGATGCATGCTGTTTCTGCATGCATGTTTGAAATCTATATGTAGTCAGATCGCAAGGCTACTTCTAAATATCCCCTGCGTCTTGATGTGTGTGCTTGTGTGTATGTGTGTACATGCACTTTAATACACCCATGACCTCAAAGGATGGCTCTCCTTACATACACTTATTATCTAACCAGAGTAATTAGCACCAATATCACCTCTGGCTTGCTCGTTGCCATTTACCATCCGCCACACACTAGGCTAATGAATTATAAAGTACGCTAGAATTGCAAAAATATCCTTATGTGCGAAACATGGAGCGGCTGGTGGTAGGTGGGAGCAGATATGAGGCGATAGTGAGGGATAATGAAGATGATATCATGCAATATGAATGAGCATGTTGAATGAGGCAGAGGGTGATGGGGATCTAACCATGCAACATCAAATCTCTACTATTAGAGTACTGTGTGTTTATGTATTATGTGTAAAAATTGGTGTTAAATGCTGGAATGTGTGGAGTATAGGTATTAGATTCAAGTGGGATTAACACAAAAGAGGCGCTCTGCTAATTATATCCTTGAAAATCAGGATGCCGAGGACTGAAAGAGGAAACACTGCATTAGGAGCGCACACATTACACACACATCACACACACTTCCCTCGGGATTCCAGCTCTGCTCATGGTCAAACACTACTGTGTTTAAAACACCAGCAGAGAATGGGATTGGTGCTGAGGAAGAATATGAATTACTGATATTAATCATGGTTTCATGAATGACCAAGATTCAAATATAACACCTTAAACTGTTGAGTGGTTGTTGTGTGTTGTTTTTAACCTTCCTGTTGTCCTAAGGTCAAATTTGACCCGTTTCCAAATGTTTTCATGTCGGAATAAGGGGTTATTTTATATAATTGCCACATTGATTGTTCCATGTTCTTTGCAAGTCAAATGAGTGCTCATTGCTTTCATTGAATTATAATGTTTTTTGTTCCGGGATCAATTCTTTAAAATCATTAAATGTTTGTCTTTGTTTACCTTTGTGTTAATTACTTAAATGTACCTTATTTTCCAAATAGAAGAGTAAAACTTGAGGTAACAAGTCGGATTTGGTTGGCTACAAAGGTGATGCTTTATGCCAAAGCTTATGCCTTATAAACAGTCAAACCAGGAGGTCAGAAATTGCACATTTGCCTGGAAGGTGACTGTGAGGTTGAATAAATAGATATTAATTGTGAATGGTATATGCTTTGGGTAGTAAAAGAGAAGCGAACTTATGAAGACACAGCTGAGTTACATAAAGTGTTTGGGACTGGAAGCTAGCTAAGTGCACATTTGTAATAGCAACAAATATAAACCTGATTCTACAAATAGGCTATTTTAAAGAGATATGAGGACCTTAATGCGCAATTCATCACATTACCAAAAATCAAAGGCAAAGAAAGCGGATCAACTGGCACAAGCTGTATTCACTGATTGGAGACCACTGGCCATCAGTAAGACCCATCGCTGCCTCGCTGTAACGGCACTTCTGATCCATGACTAATGTTCTGCACCACTTCTTTAGGTGTGACGAAAACGGAGGAAAGGCATTTTGCTGAACCACGCTCCAGTTCCTTGAAGTTGTACAGGAGTGAGAGACAGTGGACAGAATCACCACTGTAGGAGCAGTGTAAAATGTAGCACACAATACAGAGGTAGATCACAGCCCTCTGTGACCGAGGCTTTCTCAAGGCTTTAGCTGAGTGTCGGATAATTGTTGAATTCCATCCCAATAATCAGGAAATCATCAGAACTAAGCTGAGACAGACAGACAGACAGACAAACAGACAGACAGACAGACAGACACAGACAGACAGACAGACAGACAGACAGACAGACAGACAGACAGACAGACAGACACACAGCATTGCCCTATTGCAAAATGCCAGAGACATAAATCCTAAAATCACAGGCTCTGTTGCTGCATCACTTGTTCCCCTGGCAACCTGGACATACCCTACATTAATAGGCTGCATGAATCAGGACATACAGTTTAATGACAGAACAATCAATGAGGGCTCAGCTTCAACCGACAACCCTAGAGATGATGGAGGGCCAGACTGAATGTGCCAGAAAAATCTTGACCTGATTGGACCAAACGGACTCTGATGCATTTATTCAGTCTGGCACTGTTGGCCATGGGAGCCTGCCTGCAGGCGCCACTTTCAGGACAGGAAGTGCACGCTAAGAATTACAGCTGACAGCCGGGATGACACTCGAGCGATTATTCGCATCGCGTCCGGTGTGAACGCACCATTATTACAATTATCATTTAATTACAAAATAAAATCGCCACTCTCAGTACAGCGCCACTTTCCGAACAGGAAATGCACGCAAATACAATCTTTTATATTATTATTATTATTATTTATGAATTTAAATAAAGACGTCTTTTATTTTACTTACACCCGCTATTGATTAATTTGGTCAACATTGGACCTTGACACCGTCCACATTTTATTTAATATTAAAATTAACAATTCATATATATTTACTCAGCTCTGCATAACTGTGATCGTCTTTCACATTTAAAAAGGTGCTATTTTTCTTTTTTTTTTAAACTCTCCAAAAGAAACTCCATAATAAAGAGTAACAAAACTGATAGGGACCACATTGAAAGCAGAATGAGGAGGGTCCCTCAAACAGGACGGAGAGTACAGAAAATCCATATCTCAAAATAGTCAAAGAGCTCCCAGGTTTCAACAACCATATTAAAAAGGGCATTAAAAACCTAACTATATCTGTAGTGTACACAATCCATTTCAGAGGTGTTTTGGGCCAGGTTCACCAAAGTTTCTGTCCTAAATGAATGCTTGAAGTTTAGTTTAATGTTTCAACAATGTTTTCTTAAGGAAGTATTTATAAGGTGAATGCAATAGGTCCAGTTTCAATTAAGAAGTGTTAATCAAGGGTATCACTTCTCTAAGCAGCTTGGTTGGAAAGGCTCTAAGAATCAGATTGAAAACACATAATTGAAGTGAGTTTATAAAGGTCGAGAGACATTAACCTTCTTGTCATGTTTTGCAGCCTTCCTTATGGGGTTAAAGAAGATCATAATGTTGTGAGGGCTGAGCCAAACAGGGATTTAAAGGATCAATAGAGCTGTGACTCTCTGTCAACCTGTTTGTTGTGAGTTTCTTCTATTGATGATCCATGAGCTTCTCGAGAGAGCCTTCTTATACTGTATGTTTCAAGGTGATCTAGCCAGACTAATACAAATTCTTTCAGCTATTTCCTTCCTTCGAATACTTTCCACATTTGCTTTAGTTTGCAGGTTGGATGGAGCTATTCTTTATGGTTTTATTATCTTCTTTTTAAGAGGGGAAACAGAGTCCAGTGACATTCACAGTGAACCTGTAGCACTGTTGACAAGATGATGCATTTAGGGGGACTGAAGTTTGCATAGGATGACTCTGTTATACTGACATGGTAACTACATGCTGATTGAATCATTACACTAAATGTATCTTCAGCACTGTCAGATAGACATCTAATGCAGGAATGTTTGCGGAATGGCTTGTAGTCAAGTAATAGGACTTTTTAAATTATTATTATTAAATGACGGTCAAATAATGGGGAAAAAAACGATGTCACATGTCCAGCCATATTTCAGAACAAGGTTGAGTGTGAGAGATGGTTTATGAACATTCTGACTGACCCAATCAGATCTATTACCTACAATGATAACTCTATTTTAAGGAATAAACCCCTCAACAATTACATATTCTGTAATTCACTTTACAATGATTGATTTATGATTACTTTAGATTTTTTAGATTTGAAAGACTAATGGCGCATTTCCACTGCAGCGCGTAGAACGGTTTAAGCGTGCCGTGCCAAACCCGGCCCGTTTTTTGTTGCGTTTCCACTAGGGGTAGTTCCGGCTAACGGGTACTTTTTCACAGTTTTTCTTGCCCTCCAAAATCTTGATTATTTCCGGGCCAACAACCGGGCTGAATATGCTAAACTACTGAGAGAATCGCTGGCAAGGGGGCTACAACTACAACAAAATGAACATATTTGACCGTGATTTAATTGTAATACACGTTTCAAAAGGATAATACAAAGTATAATTTGTTGTGTTAACACTTTAAACTTGACAGTTTTTTAACCCGCACCGCCCAGTGGTTAAAGCACGTTATTTAATTAGTTTGTTGAATATGTTATATTTGAAAAAAAATATGAAGAGTACATACTTTCAAAGGGGGAAAGTAGAAGGTCAATGATAGAAATATAGAATATAAGAAATCAAGAAGATACTGTAAGTGATCTCTACAATAAAACAGTTTAGTGCTGGATGTACAAAGATATTAATAGGAGGATGTGCAAAACAGACAAACTAATTAACCTTTATTAACACATTAAAGAATCCTTTAGGTTAAGGTCTTCTTTCAAATAAGAAAAAAGCTTTGGGGGTATCTATCTACAGTTAAATATTAAGCCTGACAAAGTACTTAACGTCTAATATATTGCTTTCCTGCAATGTTAACTATGTTGAAGCACTTATTTTAACTGATATTATACACATTAATTATACTCTAATGTATGTAGATATTATAAGAAATGTGCAGAATTTGACAGTTTAATGGTGGAGGTATACACACATATTGATAGATGTCTTGTAATGCACTGTTGAGGAACCTGTGACCCAGGATTTTCATTCATTGCATAACTACACTGTAGTTGTGTATATGATATGTCAATAAACCTTAGAACATCTTGAAATCTTGAAAGGGATGTGCAAAATAGCCATTATACAGTCTTTAATTAACTATTAGTAGAGAATAACGAGTAATTAATATACAAATATTTCTCCTGATTGTTGGCACTTGACAATCACCTTCCATGAATTTTACTCAGGTGTAACTAAAGTCTGCTTTAAGGGTTGTTTATATTTCACATCATTAATCAGAATCTGCAAAGTAACTAAAATAAATGTAGTGGAGTAAAAATACCAGGTTAAACTCTGAATTGTAGTGGAGTAGAATTGCAAAGTTACAATGAGCTGTCATGTGGGTATATTAATGCTGCCCATTATGGATACAAGCGATTTTCACCCATTTAGTAATTACATGTTTTAAATTTGTACACACCAATTTGTTTCCTATCGCCTAAACCTCCAGGGCTGTACACAGTTTAATACTGTCAACTTCTAATTTTGGGAAAAACAAAACGTCTTTTAAAACTACACTTCCCAGTAGATACGTGCCATAGAGAACATGTTGCGAAACACAATAGCCAGCATGTGTAGTTCTGGGGGGGCGTTCGAGTCCAGTTTTGAATAGTCTGCCGTGGTTTCGTTCCATTTCAAAGAGCTTGACGCTCAGCGTAACCT